TCATTTATTTAATTTTTATTATTAAGAATTATTATTAAATTATTATTTGACACAATATTAACCTTGGATTTTATTTTATAATTTTCTTAAGACAAAATTACTATAAAAATCATGTTTTATTTTTATAATAACTCTACATAATATTCGGTACATATTTATAACTTACAAAATTTATTTATATAATTGATTACAAAATTTAGGATATTACGGGACGCGCGTCCCAAATGTGGGACGACCGTCCCAAACACCGGGGGTCCCAACGTGAACAAATTTGCATTTGGGACGGCCATCCCAACCCAGACTGGCCGTCCCAGATTGGCACAACGTAGAAAGCACGTTTGGGACGACCGTCCCAACCCAGACGGCCATCCCAAAGTTCCAGGGCGAAAAATGCTATAAATAGGAGCCTCATTTGTCTCATTCCTCACCCCAGACAACTCTAAGACTTGTCTTCTTCTCTCCCTCCTTCGAATGATCTCTCTGATTGCCTTTAATAGGTAACAATCAGTTAAGGAATTTGTATTCCGGCATTCGATTCTTCTAGAAATTAGTCGAGTCGAGTCTGTATTTGAGAGGAGAGTTGTTGTAGAGCGAAGGACTGCCGAAACGCGTCCTCTTTGTAAAAGACTTATAATATAAAGCTTGCTACGGAGGTTTTTCTCAATTCTCTTCTCCTTTACTGCTTTATTTATTGCTTTCTGTATGCAATGTAGATAAATCATGTAGATAGCCATCTTTAAATAACTGTACGAATAAAATAGGGTAATAGCGTAATTTCTCGTAATCTTCACTTAAATGAACTAATCCGTCATAGGGAACCTGAAAGGGGTGTTGTGGGGTGCTAATACCTTCCCCACACGTAACTAACTCCCTTACCCGACTCTGGTTATAATGGCCAAGTTGGTTTTTATTAAAATCAATGCCTTTTTCTCCTTTTCCAATGTTTATGGTCAAAATATTGGTGGCGACTCCAAAAGAACCCTTTTCGAAAACCTTGCTTCTATTAGAGGATAGTTCAGCGTTGAGCGCCTCGGAAGCAATGAACATAATTTTAAACAAAAACGCGAGTCTCAACCATCTTTTCACGACCGCTCGCATTAACGTTTGAGATGTCCTTCGGACGTCGGAACGGACGGCGGCGACACATACTTAGTAGATTCTTCTCCATTCCAAATTTCTTCTCCATCCCAAACTTCTTCCCCATCCATACTTTTTTCTTTATCCTTAACTTCTCCATCCAAAACTTCTTCTTCCTTGACTTCGTCTCCTTCCTAAACTTCTTCTTCCTTAATTTCTTCTTCCTACTTCGGTTCTTCTCCTCCATTCCAAACTTCTCCTCCATCCCAAACTTCTTCTCCATCCTTAACTTCTTCTCCATCCCAAACTTCTTCCCCATACATACTTTCTTCTTTACCCTTAACTTCTTCTCCATCCAAAACTTCTTCATCTTCTTCCTTAACTTCTTCTCCTTCCTTCACTTCTTCCCCATCCCAAACTACTTCTCCATCCTTAACTTCTTCTTCTCCTTCCCTAACTTGTTCTCCATCCTTAACTTCTTCTCCTTCCCTAACTTGTTCTTCATTCTTAACTTTTTCTCCTTCCCTAACTTCTTCTCCATCCTCCTTAACTTCTTCTGCTTCCTTAACTTCATTCTACATCCCAAGTTTCTTCTCCATCCTTAACTATATAATCTCCTATGTTATCCCATCTCATCCCATCTGAAAGTTCATCTCCTTCCTTAACTTCTTCTCCATACTTAGTAGATTCTTTTCCATACTTAGTAGATTCTTCTCCATTCCAAACTTCTTCTCCATCCCAAACTTCTTCCCCATACATACTTTCTTCTTTATCCTTAACTTCTTCTCCATCCAAAACTTCTTCTTCCTTAACTTCGTCTCCTTCCTAAACTTCTTCTTGCTTAATTTCTTCTCCATACTTCGGTTCTTCTCCTCCATTCCAAACCTCTCCTCCATCGCAAACTTCTTCTCCATCCCAAACTTCTTCCCCATCCATACTTTCTTCTTTACCCTTAACTTCTTCTCCATCCAAAACTTCTTCTTCTTCTTCTTCCTTAACTTCTTCTCCTTCCTTCACTTCTTCCCCATCCCAAACTACTTCTCCAACCTTAACTTCTTCTTCTCCTTCCCTAACTTGTTCTCCATCCTTAACTTTTCTCCTTCCCCAACTTGTTCTTCATTCTTAACTTTTTCTCCTTCCCTAACTTCTTCTCCATCCTCCTTAACTTCTTCTGCTTCAAAAATTATTTAACCTTTTTCGTCAGAACTTTAGGGGGTTCTCTAAAAAAAATAGCGAAAAAAATAATTCCTAAAGTTGAGACAAAGAGAAATGTATAAACCAATGCTTCCATAGATTTAATCGTGGTTGACTATATATAGCTTTTATACCTGTTTATTGAGGCTCATTTCTAAAATAAAAAAGAAAAAGAGTAAAGAAGAGCAAATGCAATGATTCAAATCAAGATTTATCTAGTTCTTTATGTGAAATTCAATATCATAAAAAAAGTAGAAAAGAACAAAAGAATGTTATACTACCTGTCTTCTTGTAGTTGGATCTCCAAGTTTTTGGAATGTTCCAAATTCTACTTGAGCATCTAAATCTGGGTCGATACCAGCAAAAACATCTCTGAACAAAGTTCTAGCACCATGCCAAATGTGCCCGAAAAAGAATAGTAGAGCAAATGAAGCATGCCCAAAATGAGCCTTGGGAGTTACATTTTCTTATATTTCTCTGAAAGTTAATTCAATATGAATGATCATAGAGATACTGCTAAATGCTTACTCAAGCAATTCCATCAAAATATCCTAGTTTTAAATTGGTGGTATTAGAGTTGGTTCGAGCCTGCTATGCTCTCTCCCTTCCAGTCATGACTGCAATTAATGCTTTGTTGTGTGAGGCACATCTGTGAAATTTTGGAGGCAAATTCCTCTATAGGAGCTGTCATGAAGTACTGGCCTTGTCAGGCATGAGTGTCATGAGCCACACACCTGTCACTGTATCAGTTTTCTTGTATGAAACTTTGGCTTCTTGATTTGGGCGATGAGGATTGTGAACCGTTGAAATTTTTTATTGTGATTTGAAAGAAAAGGAATTTGGATGTTAGTTGTGTGTCATGTACAACGATAGAAATCAATCCCAATCAGATTGAACTCCAATTAGGGCTACTGTTGTAAAGGGTAAAATTGTTCATATCATTTCACAGCATAAAACAACCTTAAACACATTTTATTGGTACCTATCTTCTCCCTACAGGTGACGAGATCCTCTTTGCGAGAACATTATAGATTACTATTGATAGCTTGAGGGGGAGTGTTGGAAACGGTTTGTATTTCTAGGGAAGTCTTGTTTAGGATAGCTAAATTTAAGTATTCATGTATAATAGCTTATCATTATCCCAGGAAATTACATTTATGTTTGTGTGTGAAGTATTTTTCGTCATTCTTCCTGCTTTTTTCAGCTTTAGTAGGATTCTTGTTCTTGTGTTGTGTTTTCATAATCTTCCTAAAATACCTTACGAAATGTGTGTATTTTAGTAAATACATAAAGAAACTTCTATTAATATATACATGTTTCTTTCAGTGGGTCTGGCAGCAGTGTTTACTATCTTCTAAATTTGTGGTCTAGATCAGTGACATCTCGTGCGGTATCTCAAGGGTGACAAACCTAACCTGTTAGATGAATATGTACCTAAAGTTATAGAAGGGTTTGTATCATCAAGATTTGATTCATTGCAGGTCAGCTACTTTAAGACTCCACATTGACCCTCATAAAAATAGAAGTGAATTCAATATTTATTCCACATTTTAACTTCCAATCATCCATTTATTCCAGTCTGAACTATCAGATGAACTTGGTGAAAATCCTCTAGACAATGTTGAAGTTCTTCAAGATCAGCTTGAATTTTTTCCTTTCCTCTGTAGATTCCAGGTTCATGCTTTTTCATGCTTCTCAAAGTATATGAGGAGTTACTTGTTATCTTGGAGTGAATGCTTTTAATTGTTATTAATTATCTACACTTTTAGCATCTATATTGATTCATTAAATTTCGGTATGAAAGTTGCGGTTCGTATCTAATGAAGATAGTGGAGCCTATCATGCAAAACTATATGGTATCTTTAATAGTTCTTCATGAAGTGATTTAACTTTGTTAACTTGTTTCAATAAAATATTCCGATTTGATTTTATACACTTTGTGTAGAAGGAAGCAAATCTCCAAAGCCATGTGGATAGTTTTGAACTCTCTGTAACGAAACCAAACTGGCTTGGTTCACACACATAGTTGCTGCAATTACGAGAACAAAGCAGATTTCGATTCTAGGTAGTTGCTTTAACCTTTGAAGGCAAATAAGAACTTCTGCACAGTAAAGTGTTAAGTTGTCTTTATATCTATACGAGCAGTGGAGAATCACATGAAGTACTTGATGCGAGAGATTTCAGCATGTGTTCTGCAGTTGATTAATATTTCGATAGTGGGTTTCACGAGTAAGGTATGTCCTTTTGTATCTATTTGGGGATAATATTAGTATATATATTATTAAGAAGTTGACATGGTCTGTGCTATGGATAAGGTTTTTATTCTTATTTTCTGTTCAATGTTTTTGAGTATTTATGATTAAAATTTGACATCATCTTTGCATTCATTCGGCTGGTTCTGATTTGTTATTTAAGATTCTTTTGGTTCTGCTTGCATTTCGATTTACCAAGGAGAATTTTGGTGGGATAACTTGATATAAAATTATTCCTCCCCATCTTTACCATTCATTTAGATTCTATTGCCGTACTCTTGCCCATGCTATTACAATGCTTTTTGATGATTTCTTCTAAATTTTTCTGATGTCTTCCTCTGCCTGTATAGTTTGAAAAGAATACCATAAATGTCAAGGGAGAGCTATTTGTGAAATCTGTCAATCTGATTCATTGAGGACTTCTATTTAATATTTTTGCCCTTCTTGAATTACTTACCAAGGTCTTGTAGACCCCAAATCTTGCCCGGCCTCCAAATAAAGACCAGAAGACCTCCTATTTGAAGATGGACAAGCCTAACAAGCCATTAGGAGAGACTATTAGGCCCCATACTAGGATAGGAGGGAGTTTCTGTACCAAAAAATAAGTTTTCTCGCCTTGAAGGGATGAGACCGCCTTCTGGACAACCCAGACCGCCGTCTCGCCTCACGCAAGTGGCGAGACCGCCGTCTCGCTTGACGAGACGGCGGTCTCGCAACCTGCGAAGGACGAGACGGCGGTCTCGTTCACCCAGACGGCGGTCTCGCCATTTTGACAGGTCGAGACGGCGGTCTCGTTGGACGAGACGGCGGTCTCGACCCTGTCAGACGAGACCGGCGGTCTCGCCACCTGACAGCACGAAAACCTATAAATAGGGGCTCTCCCCCCCTCATTTCCACACACCACAGCTGCATAGCTCTCCCTTCTCTCTAAAAACTTCTCTCTAGAATCCCTCCGACGCATTTCCGGAGCTTCTGAGTGCTTTCAAGAGTGATTTTCGGCGTTCGAGAGGTTTTCCGACGTCTTGTAGAGTGAAGGGCTGCCATAAAGCACCCTATTTTTTTAGAGAATTAATATAAAAAGCTTGCTTCGAAGGTTCAAATTATCTCCTCCCACCTTTACCGTTTTTATCTTAAATTATGCAATAGATAGTAGGGCCATGTAGTCATACTTTTAAATTCCGCAGAATAAAAAGGGCAAAAGCGTATTTTTCTAGTTTATCAATAAAATAAGCCGGCCTGTCATAGGGAACCCGAAAGGGGCGTCGTAAAGGGACTAATACTCCCTTTGCACATAACCAACTCCCTTACCCAACTCTGGTTCTAATGACCAAAGTTGGTTTTCGAAAACCAACGCCTTTTTAAACCCCTTTTTCGATGTTTTCGGTAAAAACATCGGTGGCGACTCCATAGAACCCAAAATAAATAAGTCCTTGGGTTAGCCCGGTTATCGGACAACCCAAGGACACTTTTCAAAAACCTCGCCCCTAGGTTAGCCCGGTTATCGGACAACCTAAAGGCGTTGTAACCATCCATAAAAAACGCGAAAACAAGAGGGTCGAAATAACCATCGCGTCGCTCCGACCGCGCCCCCTTTTCGGGGAGGCGGCGACAGATGGCGACTCCACTGGGGAAGCCTAGAGAGTTAATCCCATTTAGTGATGGGCCGGCTTAAACAATAAATAAACCAAGAAAATAACACTTTTGCCCTTAACCTGTATTTATAACATGTTTTATTGTTTGGCTTTAATAAATCGTTGATTGTTTATACTTGCAAAATGCTTGAAATATAAACTGCACACAGTCCCTTGCACACAACAGTTCCCCCTATACCCGGGGGCAAGTGGGAAAACCATAGGGAGTGGGTGGCAGGTACTGTTCGCTGTAGTGAGGGCCTTGTGCCCACCAGTGTGATCTTAAACCACCACTCAAGGTGATAACCTTCCTCTTTTGGCAACAAGACTGACTATGGCCTTAGTGCTAAGCATGGTCGGACGGCTGGAGAGTGGGGACCCTATAATGGGGGCACCTTGGGGGCCTTAGCCTGGTGAGAACAGTTAGAACCAACCCTGACCAATGCACTTTTCTGCAGGAAAACCCTACCTCGTAATAAAAACGAAAATCTCGCCTGTTCGGGGATGGTCGAATTGTGTGTGCATTTGATTGTTGCATTTGTATGTTGCATAGCATAAACAAACAACAAAACAAAAACCAAAAATATTTTTCACAAATAAACGCCCTTATCTCGGACAATCTGCCTTTTAGCTAGCCTGGTTTCAGGTTCTTTGCAAGCTAGTAGCCACGCAGTTCCGACAAAAGAGATAAGGGACGCTAAATGTTTTTCGCATAAAGCCATATTTTATCTCGGACAGTCTGCCTTTTAGCTAGCCTGGTTTCAGGTTCTTTGTAAGCTAAGTAGCCACGCAGTTCCGACAGAAGAGATAAAAGGCTATAAAATAAACAAATAAAAACAATAAAAATAAACAATCCATTTTTTTTAAAGTTCATAAATAAGACCTGGTCCAAAAATATTATACGCATAACACATTCATATAGATAGTTTACTCTTCCAAAAAATACGCAAATACCATACATCATGTAGAAAAACATGATAAATAGCAAAATAAACACTTACATACAATAAACATCATCTTCATCAAATCATGCATTCTTGTTTTAGAAATGGAGGGTGCAAGTAGACAGACAAAGAAGGTAGACATTCCCCATTTCCATACTGAGAAATTGGAACGGCTGAGCACGATAATGCCACCGGAGGTCCGCGCCGACTTCGAAAAATCCTACGGACGGATTTTAGACCTCTTGAAGATATGTGTCGATCAGGTGTTCTTGAGGGCACTAATCCACTGCTGGAATCCAAGTCTGCGATGTTTCGAATTTCCGCAGTTCGACTTGGTGCCCACCCTAGAGGAGTATGAGATCATGTTGAGGTGGCCCGAATCAGCCGGGGTCCATGTTCGCCACGAAACATATACTCCAGTAGCACCAGTCGCTGCCCTTATCCAGTTGCCATTCTGGCAAAGTGCCCTGATAAAGAAAGGGAACACCCAGGGATGGAAAGTAACAATGTTAGAAGACCACCTGTCCTACCTGGCTGAGAGGACAGAATGGGCTGCCTTCAACAAAACCCTGACACTCATAATTTTTGGAACAGTCTTGTTCCCCTTCCATTTCGACACAGTAGATCAAGCCGTCATGGACGCCTTCTTTGCCTGGGACGTGAATTTGAAGAGTCCCCTGCCTGCTATTCTTGCCGACACCCTGCTCTCGGTGGAATTCTGTCACCAGAAGCAGGGCAAAATACTCCGTTGTTGCTCTTCATTGCTTTTCGTGTGGAGCGCCACTCACCTCTACGCCTCCAGTCACATGGGGGTATTCCCCGACCCTTTGAGAAGTTTCTCCAAGATCCCCCTCCAGCGCCGTCTGACATCAGAATGGAGGGATGAGTGGGAACGCAAGGACGCCAGCAGTATATCCTGGGCCTGTCCTTGGTTCCGACCCGGCCCAGTTCTCATCAGATGTGGGGACTACCCGAGTGTACCCTTGATCGGACTCAGGGGCTGCATAGCTTACTCACCTAAGGTAGCTATGAGGCAGCTCATGAGGACCCAAACTACCATCTCCCGGGGGGAGCTCGGAGGACTGTGCTTCTTCGGAGACCCATGCACCATCGCTAACTCACTAGCTGTGAGAAAAGCATGGGAGAGGCCAATCTACATGGGAGACAGAGAGCTAGGAAAAGCTCGGGTGGCTGTCACCAGTGACTACGAGGCATGGAGAAATAGAAGAGGGGTGGCTCAATCATCCTCCACACCTACCATGAGCGCCAGAAATGAAGGACTGCAGGCGCAGATCGACGCCTTGACCCAGAGGATAGAGATCATGGGAGCCCAGATGAGGGCCCTTGAGGAAAAAGAGCAAGAATCTATCCTCACGATTGATGGTCTGCGGAGAGAAAGCAAGAAAAAGGATCATGAAATAGAGCGCCTCAAGGACCAATGTGCTGACGCTAACGAACAAGCTATCCGAACATCCAAAACCGCCAGAACCAGTTCGGATAGCCAACTGCAAGAGATAACCGCCAAAACAGCACACCTTGAGGCCGAATCAGCTAAGCAGGCTCAAACGATCAAGGAGTTGTCGGAAGGGCTCCTCCAAGCTCGGTTAGACATCCGCCAAGAGCGAGAGAACAATAGAAAACTGAGCAGAAGTCTCTATGAGCTACGCATTAAGGAGAAAAGCGGGCTAGCTCAATATGACCAAGTACTTCAAGAGAAGGACCAAGTTGTTGCAAAGCTTGATGAACTACAAGCCTTAGTCATACATCAGGAGGCAAAGATCAAAGAGGCTCAACAATATAGTGAAGATATGAGCCAGGCGGTCCGCAAGCAAAGCGAAGCACTCGCACATCATGTCCGGGAAG